TTGGGGAAGGCGCAGCATGGTCTGTGCTGCTCAGGCTGGTGAACAGCCCCTTTGCCAGCATACCGTCAAAGCTGACAAGTGAGTTTATTCAAGGCTTGCAGTATAAACATAAAACACAGTTATGTGGTTTACTCATTACCTTATGGTCTGCTGAGGATAAGAAAAATGATATATGATACCTTTAAAACGTAAAGATTGAGAAGTTGCCCAGTGATGGTAGTATTTAACAAGTTGTGTTTTTAAGATATAATCTACTGTCCAGTCACTTGCTTAATGATGTTAGGTTTGAGGATACTGTTAATACATGTTTTTTATTGAAGTCTGCCTGATAGTCATGAAAATTTGAAGCTCTCTCTGAAATGTTCTACCCCCCATGTCTCTGATGATAATTTGGAATAAGTTTGTGCTTCCCAGAAATCTTATTTTAGATCTACATCTAAAATAATATAGGTAATATTTATCTATACTTATAGATGATAATGTTAGATGTAAATCTAAATAATAATACGTCTTAAGACATTCATCTAATATATGTAATCTAGGTCAGCTTATATAAATTTAATCAAAAGCATTTGTAATGGACAAAAGCTGAAGTAAATACATCATTGTTCAATAATGACAATTAAGAATCCAGACTACAAGTAGAACTTCTGGTTAACTCATAATAATCCTCTTTTTTTTTTCTTGCTGAAACGGCAACTGAGAGTTAATATTGTTTTGTGGATTACATATCATTTTACTATGTTATTCAAAACTGAACTTTTATTTTTAACATCTTCATAACACTTAGATGTGAGTAAATCTAGCGATACAAAATTTTGGCATAAAAACTCAAAATTTTTTCTTGTAAATTTTCAGTTTCCTAAATTATTTTCCAGTTCATTGCTAAAATGAACTATGACTCTTTATGCAGTTTTGGTTAATGATTTTTATTTTTCTTCACTTCAGCATTTTTTTTTTTGAGGCAGGCGTTTTTCCTCCCATGCTTCCATTTATAGATTTTTTTTTTTTTTTCCCCTGCAAAGTACAGATTAGAAACAAAGGTCTGTATCTACAAAGAAGCAACTTGCAGATATCAAGCTTTGTCAATGTAGGTACTGAATCATGAAAATAGGTGAGCGGGAGTGCTAGTCACAAGACCCACCATGAACTGAGGAGGGGTGAATAAGTGAAGCAGTTGGAAAAGCAGGAGGTAGGACCCTTCTCTCTCCTTCTCAGTCCCAAGTCTTGGTTCTTGCTGGCCAAGTTGAGATGAGCACCCCTCTTAGGGGATTCAGGTCTGACCCCAGTATGCTGTTTTGGCTCATGCAATCGCATAATCGTCTCACAAAGAAACCTGGAAATATGCTAGCACAGAACCTTATGTCTGGGCTGCCCAAAGGGCCATGTCTGCAAAGTAAAATGAAAAGTATCCCTAGGGAAATAACTTTCATTTTGTTGAATGGAGACAATGAGGATTTATCATAATGTTCACAAATAGGAATTGTTGCTGAAATCAATGCTTTAAGACAGCTGTGTTGAAAGGAGGACTACCGTTTTCCATTCCTGGCTGCATCACTGTGTTTCAAAAAAATCTGGGTCAAAACGTTGTCTCAGATTGGAATTTTGTCTTTCTGCGATGCCTCTGCTTTATTCTATCTTATGCAAAAGGCTTTTATGAGTCACCTTAGTAATGCCCAGCAGTGTTCTATCAAGTCATTGATAAGAGGCACACGTTGACCACACTGCTGCCTGAAAAAGGAGAGGTGTTACTTAATAAAACAAGTTTGCTCCGACTGTAATCTGCGTTCTGTCTTCTAATGAAAGCTGTCTCATGCCAAAATTTTTGCTTTTATCCCTAAAACACAACATCACTTTGAAAACAAGCACCAGTAAATGCTTATTCAAGCTTTTAGTAATGTCACCTGGCTATTAGTAATTCCTTCATTTTTACATTGGTCAAAAGGCACTTAACAAATCCAATAGGGTTTTGTCTATTCTTTCATGAAACTCAAAACCTAGATCAATAATAAAATATAAATGGAATAATTGCCTGTCATCCAAATTCTATGCTGTACCCTTGACGTGATATTGATACGGGCTACCTGATCTCTTTGTAGAGTAGAAGACATTGTAGAAGTGCAGTTCAGTCATACCATTTCTGTCGTATTCTCAGGACATAGACTGTATAATTGACTACAGACATCTAAGCTTAAAAGCCATCTTAGAGTTTCATCCAGTTCTAGTAATATGTGTGCAGTCCCATGGGCTGCGTCCAAGGATTATGCTAATTTTATTAGCAACTCCTCTTGCTTTAATTAAACTGTACAAATTCCCACCTGGTCACTGTTGTGCCAACACCCTTCTTTCAATTTTTATTTGAATGTATAGATAATCTGTGGTTTTGCACTTCAATTCTGTTTTCCTGAATTATCCATTGTGTTTTCCACATGAAATAATACAATTTTGAGGGGTGAATAGGATTTCAAATTGAGTTAATGGGTTTGAGCAAACCTCTGGATCAAAGAAAAGACCTAAGTTTCTGAAGTTGGCCAAGTCATTGTAGGAGCGGGTATTCAAAGTAACTTGCTATCTGAAAGCACCAAGCTATACACTACTATTCAAAATACCTGCAAGCCAGCTCTGTATTAACGTTTACTTTACTGTGTTTAAACCATGAAGCAGAGTGATGTGAATTTCATAGTGGACTGTTAATTTACATGTTATACACTTTCAAATATTTTCAAAAGCAAATGTGGAATGATTAGTAGTCTGTTCACATGCTCACAAAATGTTATTAGCAAAATGCCTTGGGCAGTATGTTATGTTGACTAAAATTGATAATTTTGTATTTTAAAACTAAAGCAACTTCCCCTGCCCCCAACAAATCTTAGGACCTGCCCAGACCTCCTGGTCACACCAGTTCTCAAGGTGTATGTAAGCTGAGGGGGGGTGGGGGGCAGGGAAAGACCAAAAAACCCCCCAAGAGCAGTGAATTAAGGTTTGCAGTGTTTTTGGCTCTTCAGAAAGCCTCACTGAAAGTCTTCTGTGGAGTCCTGCAACTTAAAACAGCTTGTTATCTATAAAATCAACATAAGAAGGTGATTTTGGAATTTACCACTCATTCTACCTCACAGGTTTTAATGTGTGTACGTTGTTGCTCTGGAGAAATCAAAGTTGGTTGTTCTTTTTACTTCCGTATATCTTTCTGTCTTCAGCTATATGTCGTTCTGACAGAGCTAAAGCCCTCAATGAAATACCTCACACTCTTCAAAGACAGGTTGAGCTTCTTCTTTTTAAAAAGAAGACCAAAGAGCAATCTGTTTAATGATATTTGTCAATTTATCCTTTTTTTTTTAAATAATGGTTTCCATGCCTTGCAGACCCAAATATAACATGACACTTCCTCCTGAATGCCAATTAGTCTGTTCAGAAGAGTTGCCCAAAAGTCCACTTCTCAGAGTTTCACACCAGACCCACAGGATAAAGGAACATCGGGTATTAAAAGTCAATAAATCTATTGTGATATTAAGACTGTGCAAAAAGCTGAGTATTGCTGTATGGTTGCAACATACTTTCCAGAAATTTACATTTACAACTATGAAGTAATTGAATAAAGAAATGCATCATCATTTTCTCTTTTAGTACATGGTGAATTATTTTACCAACATGTGAAGGGGTGTTCATATAACATCATGGTGCTTTGTGCTTGAGAAAAACAATTACAGTGAATAAGGTAGAATGGCTCTGTTATTGCAGTACATAAGACTTTGATTACATACTGCCAAGATTCATACCAGCCTAGTAGTTGTTGACAGATAAAGTAACAAAAATGAAACTCATTTATTTTTTCTTTATTGAGACCTCAAGGTAAAGCAAATTCTCAGTTCTTGTACTTACTACATTGAAGGAACAGGGACTGACAGTCAAAATGTGCCAGTCCAGAAATATAAATTAAACCTAGTTTCATATCAAAGTTTCATTTAGTTTCTGAAAAGGAGCTGCTGCTTGGATTATTTTTGATCCTAAAACAAATACGCTGTAGACTAGTATGGTGTATCTTGGATGAATTAACACCCTCATATATTTTAGCTCTTATATATATTCCAGGATATATATCTATGTCTATTCAAGCAATTTTAAAATTTGTCATAGACTTAATTATTTTACTTTTTGTCTATTTGAAAATAATTTACTGTGTTTGCAAACCCCATGAACTTGAGGATGGTTTTAATAGAGTGTAGCTCTTGTGCTGAAGGAAGGATTTATTTTGAAGAGTAAAGCTCTCCCTCTCCCCTTGTGTAAAGAAAATTATTCTGGCTTTTACTGGGAGTTCCTCTAGGCAGCTAGATGCTGCATTATTCCTTGGAAAGTCTAACAAATTACTTTTTTTGGTAAACTTGATTGGTTTCTAAAGAGCAGATAAAACTAGCTGTTGAAATGGAAAGTGCTAAAATTAGTGGGTTTATCCCATCAAAATCTTGGAGTAGTTACTTAGCCCAACTGAATATAACTGCTGTTTGGATTAATGAGGCAGTATTCTAGTATCTCCTCTGTAATTAAACACTTCTCTGGTTGAATACAGTATTAAAGATGCACCAGACATTGAAACCTCAGTGGTGAAATTTAAAACTGTTGAAATTGGAGGGGTCAGCTGTGAAACACAAATTCCACCGCAACATGGGTAATGTAAATTGTGTTTCAAGAATAATTTGACTTACGTTGGGGAGGCTGGATTTTTAAAATTTTTCTTATCTTTCCGTCATCTAAATTTGAGAATTTTTCTCATTAGTTCCTGAGCAAAAGTAACATAAAGTGCACTTGTTTCCAGAATTACCTTTTCTGACCTTTCACAAGATGATAATTGCAGTACTAGTAGGCTTAGAGGACTTGTTAAAAAAATTAAGCTTATAAAGTAGCAAAAAAATGCCCCTTTGCTTGCTGGTGTCGATTTCAAAATTAACATTTTGGTTCATGTGCTTCTAATAATCGCTGACCCTTACTTCATGTGCTTTCCACAGGAAATGAATACAGCAGAAATTACTTTGACCCGTTGATGGATGAGGAAATAAACCCAAGGCAGTGTGGGATGGAGGTCAGTGAAGAAGGTGAGGCAGAATTAAGTATGTAATTTTAGTGTCAGAATATTCTTTTCCATTCATGAAAATGAGGTGACAAAGATCACATATGCAGTTCTATTTAAATATTGAAGTTTACAATTTAAATTATAAGCCCTAACTGCTCTGAACACGATAGGCAATATGCACAGTCTTTGATCAAGGACAGTGAGTTAATGGATGGGTAAAAGTGAGGCTGTGCTGTGTTCATTCCACCACCGTAGCAAAACGAAGCATGCTCTGAGAACATTGTCTACACTTTGTTCTCTTTAATTAACAAAGATAATCCAGAACTGAGTACTAAACTGTAGCTCTTCTGCAACCCTGCTCCCAAAGTCCTCCTTGGAGAGCAGTTTTATCACTGAGTTGAAACCAGTGTTTGCCTAGCATAAGGAAATCCCAGAGTCTGCAAAAGTTCCCAGCCCAAGAGGAGGCTTTGTTGGTTTTCTTTTTCCCAGTTTTGCTGTCTGTGGGTGACAGGGAGGAGTGGAAGGGTGTGACTCTGCAGAGCTGGGAGAGCAGAAGTTATGCATAAGTATGAGGGAGATTAACCAGGAGGTATTGTCTAGCAGAGGAAATTCTGCTTGGCTGTCCTGGTTTTTAGATAAAAAAGGGTGGGAATGGGCCTGCCTGAATTTGCATGGACTTAAGTAAGAACATCATCATGGTAATGAAGTGCTTAGGTATGCACTGAATGCTTTGGCCCAGCTCCTGTTGTTAAGCACTAACAACCCGATAGCACGCAAAACCCAGGTCTCCTGTGTTACCTTCCTAGCCTTTCGCTTTTTTTAAACCTTACGCGCATTTGTACTGAAAAGACTCTATAGGCATGAAGTTTTAGTCAAATCTAAAACAAATTATCTCAAAAAAGTGTCTCAAAGTAGGTCACTTAAATTCACAATAAACTTTGGATATGGAGGTTAAAAACCTTTGAGGCAAAAACTTGTGTGACTAAGAAAAGCAGGCTCCTATGCATGTCAGTAACCTGAATTTCTGTGTATTGGTGAAAAAAATCAAGGTTTATCAAGGGTGAATTACATCTAACCCTATAATTTCCCCATTCATTGTATAGGACTGCAATATAATACATTGGACATCAACTTTGGCTCAGAGATTTTAAATGAACGATATTTTTGTTTTGTTTTCCTCTTGGTACTGCCTTGGTTCATCTTATGAATAGGCTCCATGAGTCATGATCTGCTTCATAACCAGAGAATGAAAAACAGATTAGACTTCTGTAACTGTCTCTGTATGCCTAAAAACATGAACAGATAGAGTGGTGACATACGGGATACATGGAAGTACAATTTTCACTGGCAGAAAATATTCTCTTTGCCTGAGTCACGGAGGCTGTGATACACACTTAACCTTAAATGTTGTTGATTTTTTTTTTTTTTTTTTTTTTAAATTTGGAACAGATGAAAGGTCTGAGAAAGTCCACCCAGTTCTGGGGGTGGGAGTGGAGACACAGCTGTAGTCACCTGCATATCAGGCTAGACCTGAAATCCATGTGTGAACAGTTGTCCTTTGGCATTCCTCCTTTTTCTCCCCAGCAAAAATGTCATTCAAAGGTTGGGGTAACACTTGTTTATTAAAGGTCTGTTAGCAATGGTACTAGTCTCAGGTTGGTTGTGTTGACATCTGCAGAGCAGTTATTATGCTGTATTTGCCAAAAGCAAGTCTTCTACCTGGAGGTATTCAGAAGCGGTCTGGACATTGTCCTGGGCAACCTGGCTCTAGATGTCCCTGTTTGAGCAGGAAGGTTGGGCCAGATGACCTCCAGACGTCCCTTCCCACCTCAGCCAGTTTGATTTCGTGATACTCACAAACCAGGCTCACTGTCTGGTTTCCTTTTCCTTGCAGAAGTGTTTAAGTGGAACTGCATTTGTATGTAGTGGATGGAGTTAAAAGGACAGTTATAACTGAAGTCTGGTCCTGCCTCTCATCCCCTGATTGGAAACTCTATTTGTTTGCCTCCTCTTTCCAGCTAACAGCTTGTCACTAACAAAAGACAAAAGCAGACAAGATGAAGAAATCAGGGCATGCTTTAAAGTTATACTTATCTTGTGACTTGTGAGTCAGGCCCAATGCCCAAAGAGAATAGGTGGTGAAAAGCAAATCTTCAGCCACTAACTTTATTATACAGAGTTAAATATAATTTTAATATGTTCATCATATGGGATTCTTTAATGGGTTATCTGTGAAAATGAAGATATTAGCAATTATCTTTTCTATACTTGACAAATTAAATTTGTTATGGAAATTTGTCTGACTTGATAATGCCCTGAGACACCCCACTATGGATTTGCTTCCTCGCTTGCCAAGGGAACATTTCAATGTTACCTGCTAAAAGAAATGTAAAAGGTTCTGTACTTGCAGAAGAGGTTTGCAGAAGCCTTGCTCTTTGAATGCTCAGTGTAACTGAAAATTTTGCTCTGAAGTTTCACAGTAAAGAAAATTTATTATTTGAGATTCTATCAGACACTTAAAAAGAGCCACCCAAGGTCGCTTGTAGCTGTACTTTAATTCATACCTTATATGCATTTCTTTGGTCTTCTACCTGCCTGTCTTCAATGGCAACTTAGAGAAGCCAGAATCTGGGAGATCTGGAGAGGACGGTCCCAACTGTTCATGTCTCCCTTGAATATAGACACTTGAAGTGATTCTTTTAGGTCTCATGAAAAATGGGTACGTGTATGTGTGTCCCTTGCTCCTTTTTAAAACCTGCAGATGTCACAGGAAATTTGAATGATTGACCAGCCACAAAATCAAAAATTCATAGTGTGCTGTAATGACTACTCATACTAGATAGTGTGTTAGTATTATGGATAACAAGCTAAAATTTCTAATAAATATTGAAAATTAAATTAGAAAAGAGATTAGATACTTTGATTTTTATTAAGAGTCATATAGAATTCATCTGGCAATTTGAATACCAATAATCTACTAGCAGAATTAGTAAACCAGTTTCAGTTCAGATCAAGATATGATACTGCTCACCATTTAGAAGGATATGATTACATATTTTTTATTTTAAAGTGTCATAATTCAGAAGAAAATGACAGTCACCTCTGCTATGAAATGAGCACTATGAAAACTATGTTTGTGTCAAATTTTTTCCTAACTTCTGTATTTTTAGGTTTTTCTTTATAGTTTAAAATAGTGTTTCCTGAAATACTGCAGGAAGAAACAATAGATGTTTGATTTTTTTTTCCTAAGATCCTGTGAAATTTGATGAGCAAATCCTGTATGGTAGACTAATGAAGATTCTAGATGAAGAAAACAAGATGCTGCATTTCCAAGGTAAATAACAAAATAATTTGCATAAAGGAAAATAAAACTTTTGAGTCTGGATGTGGGGAGGAGAATGGGTAATCCATCCCCTTGAACTCAGAAGCAAAAGGGACATGGGTTTTAATGAGAGCCCATAAGATCTTTTTCCCCAAATGTTTTTGTTTTGAGTCATGTTTATGTGGTTTTAAGTGTAACTTAAGTGGTATGCTTTCTCTAAGATGTTTCATTGCATGTTGAATTCCACTCTTATGAAAGAAGACTGGAAATATCATTGCTTATATGCTTAAAACTAGAAATCTAAATCCTTGTTTAAGCTCATAATTGGGTGGGTCATTTGTCAGATGTGTGGGTTTTGTAACAGTGATTGAGGTTATCTACGTACCAGGTGAGTAAGAAAATGTTTTCTGTGGCTTTGTTAGAAAATAAAAATTGATGTTCCATCTACAGTATAAACAACGAAGTGTAGGAGAAGAGATTTCTTCACCTCAAGCCAACAGCCTTACTTCAGCTTCACTTACATATATAGGCATTATTTAACACTCAGTTGATTCACGAGACTCTTAGCACCACAGCCTTTACATGAAGTGCACGTCTGCTGTTCTCCTCTGGTTCATCCCAGGAGAAGTGACATATAGATAAGCCATGGCTCGGGGCTGCCTTCATATTTTTGGGGTATTCCCTGTCGTCCGTCCCCCCCCCCCCCCCCTTTTTTTTCCCCCCTTCTATTTTTCAGCAGTGGTTTTTTATGCAAAAGTATTTTCTGTTCTTTGTATCTGTATGAAGTTTCCTCTTGTATTTCAGTTATACACAGGACCTACTCTATCAGAGAGACAGAGCAGGTGCTTGCCTACGGCACTGGAGCTCCAGGAGCTGCAACATGTTTTATGACTGTTTAGTTTGTGAGCAACTTTGTTCTAGAAGATGCAAACATTTTCATTTGCCTAGGGTTGCAAAATCACTTTAATTGGCACAGGTCATATCTGAAATGTCTTTGAAACCCATTTTGCCTCATCTTAAATGTTAGAAAAAGAAAGTACAACCATCACAGCTAAATTCATGCAGATAGTTTAAACAAAAACCTTTGACAAATTATTATCAAGCTCTCTATTGTTGCATGTTAATGTAGAGCTCTGCATCGCTGAGAAAGATTATGACAGTGCTGGTGGTTGATTGTTGCTTTTATCCAGCAACAACATAGATTAAAATAAAAGCAAACGTGGTTGTGAAGTCTACATTATTTCTGTAGTAGACATGAGGTGTTTATCTGTGGTACTTAACATAGTCCTCATCTGCAAATATTTATAGCATTTCATATTCTTCAGTAGCTTTATCATTAAAATAACTCTGTATGATTAAGGAAAATGTCCTGATATAATTTTACAGTCTGCTCTAGGGTTGGGTTCCAGTACCCTTTCCATTAGCTTTCAGAAAAGTTAGATTCTGGGGCTCCCCCAAACTGGTATGAGTGGGACGGAGAAGCACATCTAGGCAGTGGTTCAGCCTAGACACCTCTTATCTGATGAGACAAATTGCGCTGTTCCTTTGGCTCTAGAATGTTCTTGGCCATTCCTTTTTGCATGGCTAAAATAAGTGAACCGAATTGCACCATGTGTATTTGTCCAGTTCTAAGCAAGGAAACCAGGGTTTGAAGGGGGAGCCTTTCCCCTCCATCAGTGTTTACTCTCTCCTTCAGCTAGGTGCTCTAAAACTTTATGTTATGTTACAAGTAACATTAATGAATATCGTTAAGATGAACACATGCTTTACAGACGATAGTAGCAAATACCATATTTAGAGAGAAATAAGGTTTCACTGATCTCAAATGCTTATAATTTAATCTCACCAGGTATGCTCGAACTAAAAATATCTTTCTCTCCCAGTCATTTTATCAAGTGACCATGAGATACTCTTCTTACTGTTTGGCTATGTGGTGTGTGAGATGGCTTCAAAGCTCTCATCTATCCAAAGCCATTTGAATATATGTGGTGTGCTCTGTGGATGGTGATCTCGCGCTGAGGCTGCTGAGATTGCTGAGCTGCCAGCTCATCTGTTCGATTCAAGGGCAAGCAAATGCATTAACACATATGTCCCACACTCAAGGAGCATGTTAGAGCCCCCTGTGTAGACATTAAGGTGGTGAGTGGGGGAGACACACTGTAGTCTGTTGCTGTCTTGTGTCTTGAGTGTTGCCTCAGTGCTTTTATTTCTTAAAAGTGCCATGACTGGCATCAGAGCTAGTCCTGTGGTGAATATTGTACACCATCCTAGGTGAATTTTTCAATTTTTTTGGCTTGGGTGAATAAAATTCAGAAAAGAGCAAAATTTCCTGGGGAAAGAAGGGTTTGTGCAGCCTCCACCTCTGCGTGCATATATTGGGCTGTATTGTTTTCTGCCTGTGTTTCTCCTTCCTGTTTCTTGAACCTGTTGTTCACTTCCAAACCTTTTTTTTTTTTTCAACAAAGAACAAGTCTCACAGCTCTGAATTTCCTACCAGTTTTATGGAAGTGGGCAGCTGAGCAGAGCAGACAAGCATTATTAATGTCTCCACTGAGGGAAAAGCTAATATAGGAGTTTGACCCTTATTAGACATCAGAAAATCCATAGAATACTGGGATTCATTTGGTTTCGCTCTTACAGAACTGCTTCTTTTCTTCATTTGACCACTGAGCTGAAAAATCACGTAGTCATACAGTCCTAATTAATAGATGATCCCCAAAGGAAAGGAAAGAACATGGCTCAGAATTTATGTAATTGTATATTTAAAGCATTTTGTCACTGAGTAACCTGTTGGTCACTCTTGCGGTACATGTTATTTCGTATTATAAGGCACCTTAAAAGGCAACGTTGGTTGGTTGTTTTTTAGAGAAAGATGTAGACTGTATATTTTTTATCTAGGGATAAAATCTCTCAAACAATATAGAGTTGTGATCTATGCACATCTAAAATGATGCTAGGTGAATACCATAAAAAATGCCTTCTATTATACTATTCTTTGTCGACAACTGAAAAATTGAAGTGCAATATTTTGCAGAACTTTAGTTGTTTGAAACTGATGCATAAGCCTTTGGTGGCATACTTTTTTAGGCTACAACTTATACACGGTGTATTCTAGAACCAAGCAGCCAATGTGCATTTTCCTTGTGGAGTTTATAGCTGCTTTATACATTCAAACCCACACTGAGGTGTAGTCTGCTGGTGAACCTGCTGTTTAAATTCCCACCTCAGTATATAAATCACTGCTATCTGATGGACACATGCAGGCGTGAATTAAACTACATTCAGCCAAGTTAATATCGGAGAGATTGTTTTAATTATAACACAGCATCTGCAAATACAGCATATGCTAAGTAGAAGTGATTTAAGCTATGTGGACAGTATTTCCGAGGCAATGAAAAGTTTGATGCAGATGCTAACAACTTGAACCAGACAGTTTTTAATTAGTTTATCAATCTATCAGTGAATTTCCTCACAAATTTTCAGCCATTTCTTCCAGTGTGTACAAAGTATTAACATTTTTAACACTGTGCTGACTTCTGTAAAGCAAGACTATGTTTTGGTCAAGCGTTGCTCTGGGGCAGCAGCTCAAGTCTGTAGCCTGTGCGTCAATTCAGACAAGGAGCAACCTCATGTTGTGACTGAGTTTCAGAGGTCTCTTTGCAAAGCCAGAATGCAAGAAACAGACCAGCTGAACAACCCTGTTCTGTCCCTTTCTCCAGCTCAGGCAAATCAACAGTTTTTTAAAGTGTGCTTAAATTAGCATATGTATCTTTTCAACAAATATTTTTAAAATCTGAGTCATAATTTACCTCTGTATTTTTAGCATTTAGTTCCCTCAAAGGGCTTTTGAAAATGTTCTCTCTCTTCTTTTGATCTTTTTCCACAAAACATGTGCTAATGAGCCCAGTGTCTTCCACCAACACTGAGTTCACTTGACACGGCACCTCACAAATGCAGTAATAACAAACAAAAAAGGGATTTTTTTTTTGATGAATCACTGCATGGTCATTTTTGTGAGCCAAATGTTTTTATTCCTTTTTTTTTTTTTTTTGATATATGAGGACTCCTTCTCCATACCCAGAGCATCCTGAGATAGGAATGCACAGTCTTCTCAGGATTCAAACTTGCACTGCTGCTGTGAAAACAGTACAGTGGCTGATTTATGCCAGCTGAGCATATGGCCCGTTGCATACAGCACAGCATTGAGGGGAAGAAGGGATGCTGCACATTCTGCTGTTGGCAATGTTTCCTTTTCCAGCACTTCCTGGGTTTTCTCTTTCCTAGCCAAACCCTTAATGTTACAGTAAATTTAAATGTAAATATTGTTTTGTTTCTGCAGTTAATTGTTGTAGGTCAAATCACTTTTCATTAGTCTTGTAAGATGCTACATGAAGAGATTGTGTACCCTAAGGTAATGGTTTGGGTTGTTTATATCTACTGTACACTTCCCCCAACATGATTTTGAGTTGTATCCTGTTGTAATTAAATAAAAAAAACCCACCCCACTTCCTGTGTGTTGGTGGTACCGAGGTGATTTAAGTACTCGGGAGGCTCAACAATTAAAGTCATTAGACAATGAATAGTGAGTAAAACTGAAAATTTTAATAGCCTTAGTTTTATCTTTCCTTTTCTGGTCTTCATTAGAGAATGGGAGACTTCAAAGGGGAGTGAAGAATAAAGAATCTTTTAACTGCTTTCATGTCTTAGGATGGACAAAGAGAAAACCAAATAACTGGATATGGCAGTTTCTTGCAGAGAAAGGCACAGACAACTATAAAAACATGCACTTAGATAAATATGAGACAAGAAAGATAGTCAGATGTGGACAACCTGATATCTGTAATTTCTTAGTGATCCTAATGTGGAGAAATGAGAAAAAACAGTAGTCTTTATTATTTACAATCCAAAACAGTATTATTACTGTAGCAAATATCAGTGAGAAGGTTTATTTTTTACATAACATGATGAATTAAACTGAAAAAAAGACATTGCTTCTCTTTAAGGTCAACTTTATGAATGGGATTTAGTTCATTTATGTGCAGCATGTGCCCTTTGGTTCTGCATATGTCACCACAGTGAAATCAGGGGAATGATGTGGGTGAGAGCAGAACCGGACCCAATTAATTAGGCAGGAGCTGCGTGAACACACCTGAGGGAGGAATCCATTCCGCCGAGGTGAGTGGGAGGAAGATGAAATGCTTGGTGTGTCTCTGCCTAAACTCCCTTTCAGCTGCAATTATTCCTCCTCTTCCTCAGTCGTGAACACACCTGAGGGAGGAATCCCTCTTCCTCAGGAATGAAAGCCAAAGTAATTCCAAATCCCAATTCCTTTAAGTTTTGCAGGGGAGGGAAGTGACTGTGGAAATGCAGAGCATCCCTTTCAAAAACTGTTTAAGGAACAAGCTGCATGTGATAAATTTGTCCCTGTATGCAGGTGTTGCTCTTGAGGAGAGTTTTCCTGGTAATGGGACTGAGGACCTATCCATTCTTCTACCCCTGCTATTTATTACTGTTCATTTTATGGCATGAATTGCCCTAAAATGTTGGTAGGCCTAACATGTTAACTGAGAAGGTACTAACCAGTGAATGATATCCCATTTGCTAACAGACAATCTGCTACTTTTGTTTCAAGCAGCCCATGTCGCCAGTGAAGATTTTCTAGACTCCGTGATGCCTGTCAACTCCAGTAAGGCATGTGACCTTCACAGGGAGCTTGAAGATGAAGTGATTCCTTCATATATCGAACAGTTTGAGAGAGATGTTCAGGATGACATAATTCTGCTTGGCAGCTTTTCACTGGAACAGGTCAGAGTTAAGAACTATACGACAATTTTATTGCTTGCTTCATAACATGATGCTGGCTTGTTAACCTTGTACACCCCAATTCTATTTCACTGCCTGGCGATACATATATTGAAAGGTGAAAAGATAACCCGTTTCGTTGGCTTGCTTTATGCGACTGGCACTTTGCTTAGCTAACAGCAAGGACCTTTATCTTTGTCTCCTTTTCAATATGAATAAAAATAGATTGCCTTCTTTCCTTCTTTCCTAAATAGTGGAGTGTCTCTGTTTTCTAGTGAGTATTGCAATTGAGTTTCAATCAGAAGCCTAAGCTCAGGACATCTCTCTCTGCCAAATTTAACAGAGATTTATTAATCTATCAATGAGCTAGTATTTATGTAGCAATATTAATTGTACAGAGGATAAGATTATTCCCAAATTATAAATCTGCTGGGTTTTTCAGAGTAGCAAAGTTTCCTGTGGTTTCCTTTTTCTCATTTCATAGTGTAAAGAGACAAGGTAGGGTTCATGTTGACAGAGACATGAGTTTTCAGAGCTGAAATGATATTTGTGGGCACCTAACTGCCATTTGTCCCTTTGAAAAATCTCAAACCAAGACTAGGGGACAGGAAGAGAGATTAATTGATGAATCTATCATTTTTAATTAGCAACATGAGAACAGTGCACTGGCTCTGGTGGGCTTAAAATAGGTTATCCAGTGACTGATGGTGATCTAAGCTTTCTTTTATTTTCAGAGGAAGTTTTGAGAATTTTTTCATTGCAGCACTAAACCTCATCATTGCCTTCTGCTTGTTGGTGAGGGACACAATTCCCTTACTTGCTGCTCCCCTCTAAATCTTTGTGTAGCTGTATTTTATTCTTGATGACTTTTTCATAGCTGTATGCATCACGCATGGAAGATGATCTGGGGAATATTGTTCAGGGAACATGAAATGGGAAGGAAACATGAGGGAGGAGTCTGCTATATTAGGGGTATCACCTGCCCAGGGGACTGGGAATAGGAATTTGGGAACAAGTGAACAGAGTGCTGCACCTTTCCAGAAGGATTTAGAATATGTTGAGAGTTGACACTTTAACTAAGTTGGGGTTATTCAGATGTCCCCGAAGATTCACGGGGCTCTGTGGCACCTGAAGGGGTACAATAGATTTGTCAGTCCTTTGTTCAGCCTCCCTCTAAACACAGTCACTGAGAGACTGATTGTCTTAGACTCTTTTTGGAGGTGTTCATCAAAGTTTGTGTTCTAGACAAGAGCAAGCTATTTGGACATCCCAAAACAACATTCTGCTTTGTAACTGACAACTGTATATGTGAATCCACATGTAATACAACATTAGAATGCATTTCTTCCTTATTTTTTACAAAAGAAAGAAAATGCTCCTTTAATGTGATTGATTGAGCTAATCTACCATAAGCTTACAGACAGGGACTCAATATTTTATACTGCACAGAAGAGGTCTTTAATGTCCATGTTTTCTGTCCCTTCCTCCCACACATCTTTAACTTCAGTTGTCCATGCCCTGCTTAGGAAACCAATCATGCTGACATGTTATCATCTGTCACATCTGCAACATGCAATGCAGAAGGTAACAGGAGGGTCACTATAAAATCTATATTTGCTTCTAAAACAGTGGTGTATACATCATCCCTTTCCTTGGAAACACGTAGAAATGGTGTATTCAGTCACTTAGAACAGAAAATGGAAGGTGACATTGGAAGTAGGAGCTGCAAACATGCATGTCTTGCATTGTACTGGTATTCAAAGACATCTAACAATAATGTGAGCATGCCTTATTCTTCCTTAATTGACCTTCTTTATTCTTTAATGGACTGTCTGTGATCTGTGGATATACCCCCACACCACCAAATGTTGATGCCTTTCCGCAGCAGCTACAGGTTCAGTGTTAGACTTGCTGCCACAGTCTTCAGATTCTGTTGGTGCCATCTCTGGGACTCCTCCAGCTTGTGTTGTTTCAGCGTATAATTATTTGTTTAAAAAAGTCTTTAATTTGCTGCATAGCGTTTACTTCTTATTCAGGAAAAAACAAAAAACCTTCCCTTTCTTCTGCAGGTTTAGTGGCTAGCAGATGTACTTTAGCCAGCATAATTTATGATTAGTTAATTTAATCTGCCAGAATGACATAAAGTGAGCCTAAAACAAGCTTCTATCAATTTTGCTGTTAGAGGTAACATAATATTTTCAAACGTCTACCAAGCTGAGTAATTAACCTTGGGGCTGAGTGAGAGTCTATTAGACATCTCTCACATTCCTTTGCCTTGGCAAAATGAAAACAAAACATGGGAGCTCAAGGGTTAAAAGTAGTAAGTTAGAGTTTACAGTATGTGAGACTGGTTTTATAAGTGAGGTTCAGAAACACACGTGAGTTGCTGCTGTTCTTTTTTAGCCTGCCAAAAATTCTCTCCAATGAGGCATCTGATTTGCTCTAGATTTTTGCTGGTGGTGTTGGCATGAAGAGGACAGTGATGTATTAACTATCTATCCCTTAGATCATTGCTTTTCTTCTCTGCTTTGTAGCTTTACAGTGAACGGGTGGTTTCTGTTTAAACAGCAGTTCAGTGCATGAGATAACCATGATTAAAAGTTTTTGAAAGAGCAGATGCACTTTCCAAAATAATAAAAAAGAAAATAGGTTTATGCAAGGTTTTAGCTCTGGAACTTTCAACCGTGTCATTGCTTACTTCATGTTCTGTTTTGTAAGAGCACAAGCTGATAGTTGAGGTTGGCAAGAAATACATAAGGGGAGATCTGATAGATTCTTGTAAAGAAAGCATTAAGCAGATGTCAATGTTCTGTTAACAAACACATTAAAGAATATTAAATTTGGAAAGCAGTACTGTTTCCTGTGTCCTACCATGTAGGCCTACAGATTTCAAAAGCCCCAGTGACATTTGCTTTTAATAAAGTAAAATAAACTCTACAGAGAGAAAATCATAACTTAAGGACTGTGTTGTGGCAGAAGCAGAGCATGTACAACCAATGCAGGGCATGCAGAATGCCTCAGAAAAACATCCGTCATGAGATAATGCAGGGACACATGCTTATGGGCAGAACTTGATCTTACACAGCAGAGAAACATGCAAGGAAAGACCTGACATAATGCTGGTTTAATATGTTTCATTAAAGGCAAGATGCTTGCAAAATATGAGGGACTGTGCTGAGGCTGAAGCAAACATGGCTGATTGGGTTGAGATTGCACTTGATGGGCCTTTGGCAACATTATCTTGCCAGTTGTTAATTCAAATGCCATGGAAAAATACCAGCTCTAGGGTTTTCAACTGTTTCTAAACTAAGTCAATAAAAGGGATTACTCAGGTTTATGTGGGTTCTCTCAGAATAAATTATTTGTGGGGCAACTGTAAGAAGTTAACAACATCTTTCCTGGTTGGCCACCTTCTTCCTCTAACTTGGTCAGTATTCTTAACATAATTGGTTCACAACCTCTGTCCCTCTCTACAGGATCCAGCCCTCTGTGCTCGGTGTAACACCTTGCAGGAATTTTCATTACAACTATAATAATCAGTTTTGATCCATGACCTCAATGTGAATTACTCAAAAACCTCTGAAAGTAAAGTCCAAGTTCTGCTCTTCAGCTGAGTTGCAGTAGTAAGAAATGAGCTAGTTGTTGCAGGTGGATGGTAATAAAATGTTGCCTTTCATCAAGATACTTACCTTTTGGTTAAAAAAAGTTAATGCCTCTGGGAATTAGACCTACTGTTCTGACAGGGTCAATATCATCACTGCTCTGACTCCTTGCCAAGTCACAGCAAGATCAATTTATATGATGATGGAAGTGATCAGTTCTTCTTTGGTTAATGGGAGACAACATGTGGGTAAAATTCAGTACTATGTAAGATGATGACAAATCTACTCTTCAGCCAGGAATTTAATGAGTGGTGGGATCAGGCCTTGACCATATAAAACAGCAATGTGCATTTGCTTGCATGTTCTACCCTGTTGGATAACACTGTCATTTATATCCTGATGGTACCTGCAGACCTCCTCTCATCAAAGCGGTAGCTGTAACTAAGCATCATACAATCCTGTGTGATGGTTCTTTGTGAATACAATACTTGTGTGAATGTATGCACCTAAGAGCAATGCGGAATTGAAGGTGACCTTTCCGCCGCCGAAACCTGGCTACTCCTTTTTGACATCTGCCAAGATCTGAAATGACTGTGATGTTCAAATGAGTAATTTTTGTGCTTTACTGAGAATTGTAGGTCAAGAATACAAAAGCTGGCAATATTTCTTTTACACCATGGCTTAAAAGTGGGTGACTTCACTTTAGTTGAGTTACCTCATTGTTTGCTGCACTCATTTGGGTGTCAAAACATGTCTACAGTCTGGTTAACATAATGGTCTCCATTTAATTTATGGGATATAGTAGGAATTATGGGTATCTCTATTTTACAGAGGAAGAACATGGACATGGATAGACAGAAATCTACACCCATCAGAAGGGCTTAGCACCTAATTTCCTTTTGAAATCTGTTATTTAAGCCAAGCTCATCAAATTCCTTATTGTCCTGCCAGGTAGACTCTTCCTAGGCTGGTGAAAAAGTACTTCACTGAAACCCATTTTTGAGGAGAAAAAACACAAGGTGAACTTCCCAAAGCCTGAGGTATTGGGATTCTGGCCCTTGGTTCTTCTGATGTCCTGCTTAGTGAGTGTCCATGGTCCTCGGAGATACATCAGCACCCACGTAACAGACCCAAAGCCTGAGCAAGATGCCAGTATGTTTATCTAGAGGACTTGTTTACCCTATAGGCTGGCAACCTGAGCTTTCTAAGTATTTTTATTTTATCAGGCTTGCTTCTGCTTCCTTAGTGGGAAAGCTGGGAACCCTCCCAGTTTCTAAGGTTCCACCTCATCTCTTCTGGATGCTCAGATGTACAAATTTGTTCCTTTTAAAGGTGAGGGGATGGAAGGAGAAGTATGGATATGAATGTCAGCATAAGCATAACTGTGGAAAAGATGTTTTA